ATATGAATGCGTAAACACCTGAAAATATTTAAATTTAACTCCCACATCCGAGTACATAGGACAATATAATTGGTATCAATTTAAAGGTCAACCACTCCTCTCACATATGCTATCAACTTCTAGGGTCTTTGTTCTTCAGGGGTAAATATATACGCTATAGAATACAAATTTTGTCATTTTTCACACAAAAGTCATGGTCCATTTGACCCGCTAAATATTGACCGATCTTTACCATGCTTATTTTTTCCCCTTCTCCATGCAAAAATTCGAGATGTTTGGGCCATAATTGCGGCCTCTGGAGCTACCAGAAAAACCGACAAAAATAAAGTTTTTGGTCCATTTCATCCCTTAAATATTAACCGATCTTTCCCAAAAACAATAGGGGTCTTCATTGGCCAATTTCGTGAAGATTGGTTTATAACTGTGTCCTGTATCGTGTTTACAAATTATAATGGACAGACGGACGGACGGACACACATGTCTAGATCGACTCAGCTAGTCGAGATATGACGATCGGTATACTTAAAGGTGGGTCTAGGACCAATATTTCGCGGCGTTACAAACTTTCTCATGTGGTATCAAATCTTCCTTATATATTTTTGCATTCCCATTGTAGTTGCTATAATATACCATAACGGGATATTGAAGGGTAACACACATTTTTGAGGCCCAAGCTCCTACGTACAGGTCCCACTCCCGGAAATGGAGTGGGACCTGTATGTGAAGACTTTTACCCAATTTTCTCATAGAGTTGGCCTAACGTATTAAAAGGGTGTCATACATATTTCCCGTTTAATTTTCGGAATGTTGAAGTTCTTACCCCCATTTTTCCAACCTGAATGTCGTACTACCTAATAGTGTTGTAACATTGTACCCATATAAATGTCCCGACAGACTTAAGGAATATTCATAAGAGCAGGTATGAAAAGTTCGATCTTAACAACATTTTTACATTTTATTAGATCTCCTATTTTAATTTATCGGTATTTGATTTGTATTGAGGTATTTGTAATTTTATAGTCACGGGAATATCATCGTACATATATAAGTTTTCTCTGTGATACACATTATTGGTATCGGATATATGAGTTTATAAGATCTAAGATACTAACCAACGATTAGGCAAATAACGACCATATAATGGTGCCACCTAATTTCCCCTGGCATAGTAACATTTTAGTTACTTTAATAAATACAATGTCCCTATGGAAACATTATTATTATTTTAACAAAATAATCTAGGGCATGGATCTTAGAATCAGAACTCTATTTCGGATGTCTTCTGATTTTCATCCTTGCATTTGTCCCAAATGTACGGGCATTTTATGGAAAACATGTACATTCAATGATACTTCTCAATTATTTTTTGGAGTAGTAAAGTCGGACGGCGTCTGTACTTCTAGAAAACCCAACTACGTTATTCTATGCTCAATTTTGTACGTTGTGCAAAATTTGATGTCAATTTAACAAATATGAGGAGTTTGGTGCACAATTTACTTATATATGGATGATATATCCAAATATGAACCGATTTCAACGAAATTTGTCACAGGTTAGGTTATACTAATTTCAGTACGTTTTGTTCCAATCAGCCATATATTGGTTCCTTGGTGCGTCAATTACTTAAAATCAATATATAATATAATGAAGCTATATCTAAATCTCAACCGATTTTCACTATACTTGGCACACATTATTCTGGATTAAATTCAAAACGCTATCCAACATAAGAACTTGGTATATTATTTAGATTAAATCGGACGAAAATATATATATCTAGATCTGAATCGATTTTCACGAAACTCAGCAGACATCATTCCAGCATCAATTCAGAACGCTATGCCAAATTTTGTGCAAATCAAAGGATACATGTAGTGCACCATTTACATTAAATCGGACGAAACTGTATATGGGAGCTATATCTAAGTCTTGGCCGATTTTCACGAAACTTGACACACATCATTCTGGATTAAATTCAAAACGCTATGCAACATAAGAACTTGGTACATTATTTAGATTAAATCGGACGAAAATATATATATCTAGATCTAAATCGATTTTCACGAAACTCAGCACACATCATTCCAGCAGTACGTTATGCCAAATTTCGTGCAAATCGAAAGATATATGGGACTTTGGTGCACCATTTACATGAAATCGGACGAAACTATATATAGATATACTAAATCTGGACCAATTTTCACGAAACTTGGCAGACATCTCATTAGGCTCAATTCAGTGCGTTATGTCAAATTTCGTGCAAATCGAAAGATGTATAGTTATTTTGGTGCACCATTTACATGAAATCGGGCGAAACTATATATGGGAGCTATATCTAAATCTGGACCGATTTTCACGAAATTTGGCAGACATGACTCTATGCCCAATTCAGTACGTTGTACCAAATTTCGTGCAAATCGAATGATTTTCAGGGACTTTGGTACACCATTTACATTAAATCGGACGAAAATATATATGGGAGCTATATCTAAATCTGAACCGATTTTTCCCAATTTCAATAGGGTTCGTCCTTGGGCCAAACAAATGAGCTGTGCCAAATTTCATCCAAATCGGATCATAAATGCGACCTGCACTTTGCTCACAAAAATACATGGACAGACAGATAGACGGACGGACATCCTTAAATCGTCTTAAAATGTGATTCTATGCATATTCTCAAAAGGAACCATGGGTCTATCTCGTTTCCTTTTGCCTGTTACAAACATATGCACAAAGACATAATACCCTGTACCACAGTGTGGTGAAGGGTATAAAAATCAATACAATGTCAATCCAATTGAAAAAAAAAATATTTTCAAAATTTTCAATAATTGACATTTGCATCACTTCCTCTATATATTTTTGTCCAATTTAATGTAAATAGTGAACCAAAGTTCCTATATATATTTCGATATGAACGAAATTTGCCACATCGTATTGACTTAAGTCTGGAATGATGTGTGTTAAGTTTAGTAAAAATGGGTTCAGATTTAGACATAGCTACAATATATTATATATTTTCGTCCGATTTAAGGTAAATGGTGCGCCAAATATCTTTCGATTTACACCAAATTTGGCATAGCGCACTAAATTAAGTCTCGAATGATGTGTGTTATGATTCGTAAAAATTGGTTCAAATTTAGATATAGCTCCCATGTATATTTTTGTCCGATTTAATAGAAATGGTGCTCCAAAGTCCTTATATATTTTAGTTCAATTGTATGTCAATGTTCTATCGAAAAGCCGACGTCTGTTAGGTCACTATGTAGAATATACCCAAAGTGGTGAAGTCGGCCCAGTCCGACTTTACTACTTTCCTTACTTGTTTTTAATTAATTTTCGTTTCGTAAAACTAATTAGAAAATTGCAAAACATCCCCCAGTTTTTAATTAAACAAATAAAACGGATGCGGAAATACGATGGCAAATGTTAAAAGAAGAAGCAAACACAAATACTATTCAGCGTTGCAATGTAAACATCAAATAAAATGCAATATGAAAATGCAAAACTAATTTCAAAACAAACTGAATATAACAAGAATCAAACCGGATTGAAAAAAAATGGAAACTGCCCTTCGGTTATAAATAATTTTTGCAAAATTCAAATGAAACTGATGCTAAAGCCTTATACAATTGTGCAACACAACATGATCGGATAGGATAACAAAAGATTTAACAATGAAACAAAAGGGATTTAGACTGACTACTTTGCAAATAACCAACTACAATTGTTTTCTAAATAATCCTTATTATACCCTACACAACTATGTTGTCAGGGTATTATAGCTTTGTGCAGCCCCAAAAGTTTGTAACGCCGCGAAATATTGGTCCTAGACCCACCTTTAAGTATACCGATCGTCATATCTCGACTAGCTGAGTCGATCTAGACATGTGTGTCCGTCCGTCTGTCCATTATAATTTGTAAACACGATACAGGCCACAGTTATGGACCAATCTTTACGAAATTTTGCATGTAGGATGGGTTCTGGCCAATGAAGACCCCTATTGTTTTTGGGAAAGCTCGGTTAATATTTAGGGAATGAAATGGACCAAATACTAAATTTTTGTCGGTTTCTCTGGTCGCTCCACAGGCCGCAATAATGGCCCGAACATCGTGAAATTTTGCATGGAGAAGGGGGTCGGGCCAAAGAATAAGCATGCCGGTTTTGATAAAGATCGTTCAATATTTAGCGGGTCAAATGGACCCTGACTTTTGTGTGAAAAATGACAAAATTTGTATTCTATAGCGTATATATTTACCCCTGAAGGACATAGACCCGAAAAGTTTATATTATATCCAAGAGGAGTGGATGACCTTTAAATTAAGACCAATTATATTGTTGCATGTGCTCTGATGTGGGAGTTACACCTAAATATTTACAGGTATCTCCGTATTTGTATGTTATTTAGTAACCCATTATCACTCTAGAGAGCCGAACATAGCGCTGATCGCTTTGAAATGTTTCATGAGGTTCCAGTTATGGTCAAGGACAACGCCTATAATTTTCGGTGATGATCAGATAATAATTTTGGAATGAAATGGACCGAAAAATTAATTTTTTGTGTTATTTTCGAGTCGATCTACAACAACACAACCCACGGTGAAGGGAATCTGGACAATAACTGTACTGAATACTCGTAATATTCGGAAAATATGTCAGTGTGAGGAAGAGGTGCTGTTTACCTCTAATCGGGCAAGATTGTGCAAATATCACGAAATATTGCCCAGGGTCGGAATACACATCCGTAGAAAATTTGAGTTCAGTGGTAGTTGTGTAGGGTATTGTATGGTCGGCCCCGTCCGACTATACTGCTCCGCTCACTGTTTTTTTTAATAAAATAATAAACATAAAATTGCTTCTTTACTTAAAGAAAAAATCAAGTTGAAAACTTGTTATTGATACTTATTTACTAATTTCATTACTCCCTTTGTCTTTCAATTTAATTTAATATTCTTATCGTTTGTTTGTTTGTTTGTTTGTGTATCTCCATTTTGCATAGCATGATGTACCACATGGCAAACATGCATTAATTTTGGTTAAACAACCAAAAGGAAATCTGGTTTGGATCTCAACACTGGATACCAGCAGTACAACCAAAATCTCAGCCAGCACAAATGAAAAGGATAAGAAATTTGAGCCCAAACTTAAGACATGGTCGGATTGTGATAAAATACAGGTAATTAAATATTTATACACCCATACGATTGTATACCTCTCGTATAATTGTGATATATAATAATTGTTCAGAATATCATTAAGATAACATGTTCCCATAGGACTATGAAATAAGTATTAATTTAATAGTAAAAACACAATACATAGTTTTTTCTATTGATCGGCATAACAGTTACTGGTCGTTAATATGTATCAAGTTATATATAACTAATATTGACATTACGGAAAAACCCCATACTACACCAATCAAAACCAGTAAGGAAAGTAGTAAAGTCGGACGGGGCCGACTATATGAATCCTAACAGACGTCCCATTAACATAAAATTAAACATGTCATTCTGCAACCTATACTAAATTTTGGTCAGATATAGAGTTGCTTCTTACAATGGGACAAAATTATGTAAATAAATTTAAACAAATTATCGAAATCTAAACCGATTTCATCGGTTAAGTTACACTTACTTCAGTATGTTTTTTGCATTCGGCCACATTTTGAGTTCTTCATTAACTTATAAATCCAAATTTCGTCCAAATCGATGTATATATAGGGACTTTGGTGCACCATGTACATAAAATCGGACGAAAATATATATGGGAGCTATATCTAAATCTGAACCGATTTTCACGAAACTTAGCACACATCATTCAAGACTCAATTCAGTACGCTATGGCAAATTTCGTGCACATCGAAGGATATATAGGGACTTTGGTGCACTATTTCCCTAAAATCGGAGGAAATTATATATGGGATCTATATCTAAATCTGAACCGATTTTCACGAAACTTAGCACACATCACTCAAGACTCAATTCAGTACGCTATGGCAAATTTCGTGCACATCGAAGGATATATAGGGATTTTGGTGCACTATTTCCCTAAAATCGGATGAAATTATATATGCGAGCTATATCTAAATCTGAAAAGATTTTCACGAAACTTAATACACATCTTTCTAGTCTTAATTCAGAATGTTATGCCAAATTTCGTGCAAATCGAAGGATATATAGAGACATTGGTGCAGCATATACATAAAATCCGACGAAAATATATATGGGAGCTATATCTAAATTTGAACCGATTTTTCCCAATTTCAATAGGGTTCGTCCTTGGGCCAAATAAGTGAAATGTGCCAAATTTCATCCAAATCGGGTCACAAATGCGACCTGTACATTGTTAACAAAAATGGAATTTATATTATGGACCTACATGCAAATCAGATCAAATCTGATATAAACGGCCCAATATTTTTGGTATTCGGTATATTAAAGCTATAGTTTTGTATTTTGGGTTCTCACTAGGTATAAATAGGTCCTACTAATTTTATTCATATTTCTAGGGTACCGCCTACTATTCGTTATTATGTGGAGTTTGGGCAGGTTTTCCAAACAAATTGACTCTAATCTCGATACCAACAAATTTTAACATCGGCCCTGGTTTTCGTATAGCTCCTATATAACGGTATCGACAAATGTCCTGTAATTAGAGGCTTTAGCCGCATTTTCCCACCTATGAGGCTGTAATTTGTTTTAGGTGAATGTTTTGACATTACTCGGTAATCCGGTCTATGGAAATATTGTAATGACTTTCTTAATTCGCCGCAAAAAATTGTATTGACCTTGGAATAGTCCAAAAAAATCTCAGACTTCGACACGTCTATAAAGTGTTTGCGGATTTCAACTAGGTTAAATAGGCCTCTAATATATAGACTTCCTTAACTTGAGTCCTAATTACTGGCCTTCATGTGGCGCCCAACGTGAGATTTTACTCGGTAATCCGGTCAAAGGAAATAGTGTTATGATTTTGTGACGTCTCTTCTTTCAAATCATGAAACAAAAAAAAAGAATTAATATCGGCTTACGTTTTTGTATAGCTCCTATATAACGGTACCGACAAAAGATAGGGTTAGAAACAACAAAATGGCGCCCAACTTTCATACATCTCTCCTTACTCTATTTCCTAATTCGCCACAAAAAATTGTGTGGGCCTTGGAATAGTCCAAAAAATTCTCAGACTTCAACACGTCTATAAAGTGTTTGGGGATTTCAACTTGGTTACATAGAAGCCCTAATTACCGGAAAAAGTTGTATTGGCCTTGCAGTAGTCCCAAAAAAAAATCTCGGAGTTCGAACACGTGTATCAAGTGTATGTGGATTTCCACACGGTTACATAGTCGCCTGGCCTCTGGTATATAGACTTCCTTAAATTAAGCCCTAATTACTGATTTATTATTTTAATAAAAAGTCGGAACCCTTATAGGGGGGTATTTGTCAAACCATGGGTATTCACAGCAACATTTATAGAGAACAAGAACCCGAAATGTCAAGGGCCATAGAACACGCAAGCCTATATTGACAATTTGATTTCAACTTTGATTTCATCCTCCAAAAACCTGAAATGCCAAACCTCTTGGTTTGAGAAATACGGTTAAAACGCTAAAAGTAACCATAAATGGGGTGGCACCTTTACATTAGGTCTATATCAAAATATCGACCTACAATTTACTGTAAATATATATCTCCCTTCTCTTTTAAATACGTTTCAACCTCCATTGTCTACAATTTAATTTCTACTTATATTCAGTTGAAATTATTTTCTACTTATATAAAATTGCTTGGGTTTACAATGGATTAACACATTTCCATATCCCTCAATACTTAAGTAGTAATTTCTTTACTCTTCAAATATTTCCGCACATCTGCGTGCTACAGCTAGATGTGTAATTAAACTCGATTACGATTTCAACTGTAACATTGTAGATATTGAAATTGCAAACCACAATTATCGACAAGCTATTCAAGAGTTTCCATTACTACTTCAATTTTGGTTACCCAATGTGCAGAGGATAATAACCAGTTCTCCTATTGCTAATATGCCTGTCATTACACCTCAACAAATACTAATTGCTATCAATTATTCAAACAGGTGGTAATATTACATATTTAACACAAATGTGTGTGTGTATTTGTTAGGCAATGTTATTTCCTGGCTAGCAGAACTTCAACAGGTCTGGAATATATGATATTCTATATTTAACAGGAATTTCCCAAATATGTATCCAATTAATAGAAAACCTCTTAAATCTGTTCTGCCTCTTCTGCACCCTGCCAAACTCTGGAGTCGCACCCAAGTACGCAAGTATGTATTTATGAATGCCAGTCACTGCTACTGCTAGCATGTCATTGTGCTACCTACACACAGCCTAGCCGTAAATCTTCTTTATACAACATTTGAATCTTAACCACTTCTGTTGGCTTCAAATTGTTGGCACTAACCCCATCTCCTTTTGTTAACGCCACATAATTTTAATTAACCACTTGTTTATCGTTGGTCTGCTGAGTTTTTGGTCTTTCATATCAGGGCAGTTAGTTATTCTTTTGAATGTGAACAACATGGCCAACACTTCCTCCTTTCATCATTTCTTTTTACCCACCAACCAAGTTGGCCATCCATTGGCTGTTGACCTAGACAATTGCACTGGGCATAACTACTAAGTGGTGCCCGCATCAAAAGCATCTGAATTATATATGAGGCGAGTGAAAAGCAAATACCAACAATGAAGAATATCTTTAAACATTTCCAGATTTATTTATTTGCATATTACGGTAGGCTTTAGCAAATAAGGAAATTCATTTGTGTGTATAGTGCAATTATTGTTTGTTTGTTTCCGTTTATAAAACTATAAATATATAATGGAGAATGTAATTATCGAGACTGGTAATATCGTGACTATACATTGGCAAGACTCAGAAGATTAGAAAAGCTAACATACGAATAGGGTTTGAATAAAAATATATAGTTAAGAATATCTATTAATATTACATGAATATATATATATATATATATATATTTCACGCTTCATATAGACCTTGAAATATAAAGTTAGTTTAACCAGTAAGAAAAGTAGTAAAATCGGACGGGGCCGATGATATGATATGATGGGTATATTCTACATATGTATACTAACCTGAAATTGAACGAACTTAAATGTGATCTTTATCTATAACTGAACGGACGAACACCAATACATACACATGCCTTTCTGCAACCCATGCTAAATTCTATTTCATTCAGGCAGAAAATCGGTTCAGATTTAGATATAGCTCCCATATATATTTTCGTCCGATTTAAGGTAAATGGTGTACCAAAGCCCCCTAATATCTTTCGGTTTGCACGAAAATTCATACAGCGTAATGAATTGGGTCTAAAATGATGTGTGTTAAGTTTCCTGAATCGGTTCAGATTTAGATATAACTTCTATGTCTGACCAAATAAAAAATTTTGTGTCGGTTCCAGAATGACATGTTTATGGATCCAATTTATTTTACTAGACCTTTAAAAAGGCGACGTCTGTTAGGATTCATCTGTTGAATATAGCCAAAGTGGTGAAGGGTATCACATAGTCGGCCCCGCCCGGCTTTACTACTTTCCTTACTAGTTTTAGGTATGGAGACATCCTTCCCTAGGTCCATGTTTCGATATATCCATCCCGATTTAAGTATTTATACCCTACATAGTTATGCTGTTAGGGTGTTATGGCTTTGTGTGGCCTTTGTGTGTGGTTGTAACGCCGCCACCTTTAAGTATACCGATCGTCATATCTCGACTAGCTTAGACGATCTACACATATGTGCCCGTCCGTATATCCATTATGTTTTGTAAACAGGATACAAGCCACAGTTATGAACCAATCTTCACTAAATTATGCATGTAGGTTCGGTTCAGATCAAAAAGACCCCATAAATATTTATGGGGATGAACTGGACCAAAAACTTTATTTTTGTTTGTTTTTTCTGACCGCTCTAGAGGCCACAATTATGACCAAAACATTGCGAAATTTACCATGGAGAAAGGCATTTGACCAGTGAACAATCTTTTCATAATAAGCGGTCAATATTTAGCAGGTCAAATAGATCCGGAAGAACATCGATCGGAGAAGTAGACATTATATCCAGGAGGAGTGATTAGCCTTTAAATTCGTACCAATTATATGACTGTAAATAC